GGGTAAAACCTTAATATGATTATAAGGTTGAATGGTGAGGCCTTAGGGATTAAGGTCCTCAGGGTGGGGCTCCCATGGTTGAGTATGAGTGAGAATATACAAAGAGGGAAGGAGACCAGAACGGGGAGAGGTGACGGACACAGACTTGTCTTGTCCTCCCTCATGCTGGGATGCAATCAACTGGCCTCCATGAAGGGGGCCTCTGGACTGCGGACATCCAAATATACATGAGGTGAATAAGCCTCTATCAAATGATCAAGACTGAAATATTTTCTCATTAGCAACTGAGAAGACCAGAACAAATGACTTCGTTGGTTGAGGGAAAGGTGGCATAAAAGATAAAATGAAGGCTCAGGGTTGGAACTTTAAAAAATAATTATTTAATTTTATTTGTTAATATTATTATTATTATGTCATTTGCTATAGAACACATGCACTTGCCAGAGAGAGAGAGAAAGTGAGAAAGCAAGATGGCAGGTCTGGGCCTGGACCCATGGTTGGCTATAGGAATGCAGCCTCTTTAACTACCATGCCACCTACTGGACCCCAGGGTTCGAATCTTCAGTCTGCTACTGCTGACCTCTGTCACCTTAGATACCTTACTCGACTGTTCCCAGGGTCATTTTTATGTTGCATAGGTTTTAAAAATTAAATAAAATCACATGTGCAAAAACCTTACAAATGAAAGTTGAGTGTTGTGTGTTATTTCCATTCCTTTGTTCCTTTATTTGTAACAAATTAGATAAAAGAGAGTCCAGGTTTGTTTTCCCTCAGAAGTCTCTGCTCTGCGGTAAGTCATGAGGTTTGGGTTTGGAGGGCGGCACCGTGTTCAGATCAGTTCTATTTTGTGTCACTTTGTTAGAGGACACGGTGCTCACAGGAGACGAAGAGGTAAAGTGAGAAAACCCGCCATGGGGGCTGGTCATGCTGCAGTCCCTTCCTCTCCCTCTCTCCCTCCTTTGGGATTCTGGACACGCACGCATGCACACATGCAGAGTGTTTTTCAAGTCACTAGGTCTGTCACTCAGCCCATGCAGTTGGGCATGTGAGACCCAGCTGCCTCAAGTACTATGCCACTGGATGGCCCAGCATTCTAAATCCATCTGGTCATCACCACATCTATCAGATGAAGACATACACATCCACTCTCTCACTCTCTCTGTAATTTTGTTGTGAACAGAAGATAGCAAATATAAAGAAATAACCATGCTTAATGAATAACAGGGCATTCCTCAGCAACAAGTACTGGGCTGTCAGGAAAGTCACGATGCATTTTTGCATAGAAAAACATTTAAAAATGAGGAACCAGCAGTTAGCATAATGGCTATGTCGCTGGACTCCCACGTGGTCGACCGCGGTTCGCGTCCTGGACCCGGTGACTTAAAACTCACGCCGAGCGCGTGTGCGTGCATGCCCAAGATCCTGAGAGGAGAATGGAGGAGAAGGGATTGTGGCGTGGCCATCCCCCTGGGGAGTGATTTCTTGCTTTCTGTCTCTCTGTCTCTCTCTGTCTGTCTGGCGAGCGCACGTGCCGTATAGCGAAAACCTCTCCAAAAATAAAAAGAAAAAAGAAAAAAAGAAAAACATTAAAAAATGCATCATGACGTTTTGGAAGACTCAATCTATATTTACATTTTGTCCAGAATCCCTTTGTATTTAGGGCATTCCTTTGAGTGACAGAAATCTCTAGGACCCTCTTCCCCAAAGTTGAAATTGATTTACAGGGTTTGGGACACCGGAAAATGAAGCATGTCATTACCGAAGAACGTGAGGAAAAGCACTGGGAAGTGTTTAGCTTTTATCTTCTGCCTTGTCCATGGTGCTGTCTTTTTGTTTCTTCTCTTTTTTTCTCTTTTCTTTTCTAATTTGCCAGAGGATTCAAGCACTCCCCAAGAAGAAACGGAGAAAGAGGGAAAGCAAGAAAGCACCCTCAGAGGGTGTGGTCATGCCACACTGCTGAGAAACTTCACCTCTCCCTTCTTTTAAGATCTGAAAAACGTGTCAGGCACATTTGCGCTTGTGTCCCAAATTCAACAAGATAAAGACAGGAGGAGAAGGTGTTCCCTTCTCCCTCTCTATCTCTCTGGTGAAGGCATGCATCATCTGGCAATTTAAAAACAACTTTTTAAACCCTGAATTCTGTTCTGCTCTCAGCCCTTTTAGTGTGTAAGATGACGTGGTTTGTGTTAGTATCTCCATGACCTAGCATAGTAACCACCACAAAGCAGATGCCCAATAACACATGCCAAGAATCAGTGAGTGAAGGCATTTTGAAAAGTAGAAAGAATGATGCAGATATTAACCTGTGGGGCTTGCTTTTCAACAAGAATGGACCCATCTTTCCCAGGAAGGCTGGGGGGTAGGCCCCTGCCAGGTGGATGTGAAAGGGTATAATGGAGTCTCTGCTCTTGGCCTAGCCACTCTTCTTCACACCCTCCACACACCATGCCCAGCAGCCCTGGTTATCGCCAATGCTCAGAAATGCACACTATGGACCCAAAACAGAGCATGGGGAAGTGCGGCAATTATATTCAGGAGCTTGAAATAACTAAATGCAGGCTCGCAACTCAAAATATGGAGCTTAGAGAAGTATGTGATTGTTTACTCAAGTGAGGATTCACGGTACATTTCCATAATGGCCTAGCATTTGTTTGTTTCTTTTTTTTTTTTTTTTTTTTTGTGTGTGTGTGTTGTTTGTTTGTTTTGTTAACACCATTATAGTGCATGTGCTCACCAGAGAGAAAAGTAGAGAGAGGGAAAGTGAGAAATCACCCTCCATGGGGAATGGCCATGCCATAATCCCTTCTCTTCCATTCTCCCTTAGAGATTTTAGGCATGCATGCACACGTGCAGGGCATGAGTTTCAAGCTGCTGGATCTGGGGCTTGAATCATGGTCAGCTCTGTATGAGTCCAGCACCTTAACCACCAAGCCACCTTCTGGCCTCTGTCCTAACATTTTTAAAAGTTTTTTTTTTGTTTTCTTTTTCTTTACAAAAGACCTAGGTCACATGCTATAATTTCTAGTTTGGTCTTGCCATTTGTGTACTACGAGGATGATCCCTCCATTGGCTCCTCTCAGAGCTCCTTCTGAGGCTGGCCGTCACACACTCACTGTGCCTGTAACTCCCTGCTTACTACCTTCCCCCAAAACACACACACTCGGAGGATGGATGCGCTCTCTCACTCTCTCTCTCTCTCATATATATGTGTGTGTGTGTGTGTGTGTGTGTGTGTGTGTGTGTAATCAAGCTGTCAGGAAATATTTGTGACCCAAGGAAGGACTGTAGTTCTCACTAAGTTACACTAATCTCACGGGACATACTTAAACTGAGAATTAAGTAAGTTTCGATTTCTTTTTTTCTTTTCTTTTTAGCATTACGTAAGTTTCTTTTTAGTCTATGTGACCACTGTTAATACCAATTTAGAAATTTCACTTGCTTACTTCCATTACTTTACTATATAAAGTTAATATAATAACTTTATATTATTATAAACAATAGTAATTGTTTATGACATAATAATAAACAATAACCAAAGCACGGTTCCCACTCACTGTCCTGTATGAGATACCATGTTCCAATTTTCCTCCACGAAAAGCCAGGTAGAGCATCTAATACACTCCTCCCCTGCAAACTTAGGAAATGCAGAATAGTGAAAGATGCGGCTATGGATGTCTCCCAAGACAGGAGGGAACACATCTGACCCACAGAGTCAGTCTTGGACAGAGACGTGATGACAGGGGCAGGTGTTCTCTCTCATAGGCCATCCAAGTGAAAATATTTCCATTAGAGCAACCAATGAAAATTTCCTCCCAATATAAGAAGAAAATAGCGGCTAACTTTTCGCTCCCTTTTTCATCCTTGCATCCAGCATGTCCCTTGCCTTTCCAGATTACTAAAGGTTCCTGACTCTCTCTGTTCCCTCTCTGAGGGATCCCTATAACCCACCTTCGCCTACCAAATCTCACTCTGTCATTATGGTTTGGCTTGGACTCCCATCTCCCATGAGGCCTTCCCTGACCACCCATCTCTATCCCAGGCTGGCCGCCCCTTGGAGTACACACATGGCCCCTGACACTTTGGTTGGGCCCACTGACTTGAATCTCCCATCGGATTGGCTATGTTCCTTGCTAGAGTGTGAGCTATTAAATCTTAATAATGCATCCCAGGCACAGGGTGGGCCTTCAATACTAACGGGTTGAGTGAATGAATGGAACAATGTAATGACACATGACACACGTAGTGGGGACAGGCTGTAAGGCAGGCAGGCTCACCTTCCAGGTCTCCCTTTGCAGACTCTCTTTTGGCCTTTTCCAGGCAGTGCAAAGTGGACTTCTAGAACCAATATGCATCTTCCCAGGCGCATCAGACACTCGTTACACCACAATATGACAACAAGGCAGGGCGTCCCTCAAGCTCTTGAAGGGCAGAGACTGTGTTTGGCCTTTGTACTCCAACCTAGCACAGACTGAAGTTGCTCAGTAAATATCTGTGAATTGTAGTAACTAACAGGCTTTCTCTCTCCACCTTCTCCGGGGTTAATAGCATTTTATCTGCCATTGAGGTATTTATTTTGCCCCAAGGTGACTTTAGATTCGCATCTACTTCTCCAAATTCATTTGGCTCATGAACTACAAACTCTAATTACTCTCAATACTGGTAACTTTTGTTTTTAACTGTCACTAGTTATGAGAAACTTAACAAATTATAAAAACAAAACACAAACTGCAATTACACTGAGAATGAAGACATACTTGACCATTATCTTGGCAGGCATTTTGTTTATAACTTTTATAATCAATAATAGAATGTATCTGTTTACATTATATATATTTTATGTATATATATATGTATATATATATATATTATATATCTATACTTCAATAGAAAGAGACATAAAAAAGCCTTTCAAATGAGGCATGACACGCAACACTTAACTCTCTTATTTACAATATAGAGATGAACTTTCTACACAATTACAGTAGATTCTCAGAGGCCAGAGAAGATTTACAAAGACAGCAGACACCCCTATAAAAAAGAGGTGCACCAGGCAGCTGGACGTTTATTGCCATTAGTTCTCACTATGTCCAGACAGCATATTGAAGTTAAAAATGGCATCTGGTTATTGGAAAAGATGATAATCGTCAGGATCGCCCTGGCTCCGTAACCGCTGGCTGCGCGGTCTTTCAGGTGACCAGGGAGAGACAAACACGGCAGATGAAAATTGAAACATAACATGAAATGAGCTCATTTCAGGGGCAGGGCTTGTCATTTGGCCAGAAAGGAGAAGCTGCTACAAATGTGTGGTCCCACGCCGAGCATCGGCACTTGTCTAGACAGGGAACACATCCCAACATCATGGGCTGCGTGGCTAGCCGCAGTGACTCCCAGGTCACAGAGCTAACGTGGCCCCACCCACGAGCAACCAGTCTGTGCCCGGTACTGACTCAGGAACTTGGAACGAAACACCCAGTGGAAAAGCAAGTCAAGGACTTCATGGGCCCATGTGTGTTAAGATGACAATTCAGAAAGGAACCACGGAGAAACACTGAATTCATTGAGTAGAAGACTGCTTCTATCAAACAGTCAACCTGCTATTAAACCCTGCTTTTTTTTTCTTTTTTCTTTTTCTAGAAATCCACAAATCTACTCTCCTGCAGACTTATCTATCTAGACTCATTTCCCATGAACTGCCTGTGTTTTTGTGAAGTCACACTGTTAATATGAGAGGACCTAACATTCTGAAATGAGCCAAGTTTGCATGGCCATGTCACCATGGCCCCAGGGACCTAGAGTCATGGTCCAGATGCTGGGAGCAGGAACCTGGTCCCAGATGAGTTTCTGCACTTAAATAAGATGCAGATGCAGGAGCTTTCATCTCCAGAGGAGAGTCTCTGTGCTATTCTTCCCATTGTCCCAGCTCACACACTTTATCCATACAACTCGAAGATTCTGTAGGCTTTCTTCAGATCATACAGTGTACTCAGCCTTTGGGACCATCTTAAACATTCTGGTAATTTTCAAATCTTCCACCTAAGTCAATTAACAATAACAATTTAAATTGAGTTCTGAAACTGGCTGTTCTCTAATCTGATCTCACTTTTGTCCCTATTGTCAATTGGTTTTCTATTGATGATGACCTTTCCTAGCCCTTTGATTTCCTAAGGCAAAAAGACATTTCAATTAGAAGATAACCAGCACCCTTCTTAGAGCTCCCCTGAGGTTTTAATCCAGCACTCCTCCATTGAGATGTCTTTCTCCTACCAAGGAGAGGAGAAGTTGCCGGCCGGGTTAATGGTTTGAATTTTTTGCAATTGCGTCAAATGCTAACATAGCATTTCTTTGGGAAGATATCAGCAGGAGCTTCATACATGCATGCATTCATCTCAGAGCCCCTTCTGCTAGATGTAGTCTCATTTGATCTTCCCTACTATAGACAGAGATTTAAGTAATCACACCATCTGTGGGCCAGGACTATGCATAGAAAATGTCTGGGAAGTAGGTGGAACAACTAGGTCAATGTTTTTGTTACTGTTGTTTGTAACAAACTCATATTTACCAACAGCATCTCCTTTATCCCTCTTTATCTTCTATCACTCCGACCCACCACTGTCCTAAAATAAAATCGAGATTTAAATGCATTCCCTTGCTTGGAGAACATGGAGAAAGAATGGGAGCATGGGTATCACATTTTCTTGAACAAGTGGCACATCAGAATCTACCCAGAATTCTATTTACACGGTATGTTCCACTTCTGCACAAAGATTAACCTGAGTTTCGAAATGCTTGTGTGCACTTAATTTAATCAAAAATGATAAAGCTATGCGCTAATAACATATTGGATACGTCTAGTTAAACTAGAGCAATCTCTCTCTGAGCCAGTGGTGGCTGAAAGGTGGGCTCACCAACTCCAAATATACCATTTCTTTATTTTCTCATGTTTCCTAGAAAGCATCTAGACAAGACTTCAGGTGGCTAGACACAGTCAAACAAAGTTTGATGTCTTTTATGCTCTTGTTCAACTTTCCCAAATCTCCAAAGCAAAAGCACCTCTAATGTTTGGTTCCACCGCTGCTCCCACCCCTCACTGCTGTCCTCTTGGGGCACCACCCTCAGTGGTAACGGTCTATAGAAGTACATCTCAACTGAAGCTCTCAACTGATCTTAAACATTTCTAGCAAGTTACCCAAGGCCCACACCCTCAATGCCACTACTTGAAGTAGTTGAGTCCTGCCACCAAGAAAAACTTCTCCAGGAAGAGTTCTGAATCCAGCACGGCAATGTGAGCGGCTCGGCCGATCAGGGTGTTGGCAGTGTTGGGCAGGGCGTGGAACACGTTGTGTCGGATTAGAGTGCAGTCTTTGGCTTCCACCAGAGGGCCCAGGAGGTTGTTGATCATCTCTGCATACACTGGACCTGGGAGGATGGAAGAAGGACACAAGCTGGTGCAGAAGCTCACCGTGGAATCCAGGGAAAAACACCGGCTGTATGTCAGGATCCTATTCCTGGCAGAACTTTGCATACCAATGTCCAAGCTCTTTCTAGTGTTAATAAACTAAATAATAAATAAATTCAAAGTTAGCTTTGTCTAGTCAGATTACAATTAGCCAAGGCTCTGAAAGATCGCACAGGTCACAGTGACTCTGTGCACCTATGCACTAAAATCCTGGCAACATTGGCAGGGGTTCCACAGTGGATGACTGTGGCTTCCAACCAGGGAGCAGGAAAAGACAAAGAAGATACTAGAAAGGACCCTCAGAGACTCAAGGTCTATTTCAGGTGACAAAAGGACTAGAGACACTTCTCAACAGATAAATAGAAGCAGGTATCTCCAGATATCATGCATTATATAAGCCAAGTGGCATTTCAAAGGCTTCCCTAATTCTGGGTGCCAGGGAAAAGGAGGTAGAAAATACAGTTTCTTCTGATGATTGGCTTTGTTTTTATAATTGAAAATCTGAATTGATAGTGTTTGCATCCAAAAGTGACTCAATTGCAGCTTTGCAATAGGAAACATAGTCTTGGAGTTTCACAGTGAAATTGAGTTGCTGAGCAATAAATGAGTTTGTACACCTACAATTCATACCTCCTACTCTTGAGCTCTTTCTTTCTATACAACTCTTCATGACCACTTTTACATCGTGAAGAGATACCTTCTATATTGATCCTGAAGCTAGGCCATTTGCCTTTGACTCACTGGGAGACCGAAATTGGAGGCTGGGAGAAAAGTCTCTGGGATCTCACTCACTCCAGATGACCAGGTCTGTTTTATAAAGCCAGTGAATTGCATACGCTTCTAGAATTTAGGATGAGGGAGCAGCTCTTCCGTGGGGTTTAACAGTCCAGCTGTCACACTCTGGATGCTCCTCGCTGCTATGGGAATGAACCCACACTGTCTCCCTCTCTCCCCAAGTCATCCACAAAAGAGACCCTTTGGAGTTATATTTTCCCAGGCTGGGAAGGATGGTTGAATCCCCACAATGCCAGGAGCATGATTATCATTTTTTTTTCTTTCGTCCCCCTTCTTAGGATCTTGGTAGGAGCTCTGAGGTAGGAAAGATGAAGTATAAAATTTAAGTAACTGGGAATTTGTCTATGAAAATTACTGTCCTAGCTTAAGTGATTCTGCACTCCTCAAGGAAGTCTAAGAGTACTATGTAGAAATGAACAATCATGAATGCTGACGATACACAGAAACAGAAATGTATTGTAACACCAACAACCTAATTTGTTTAAATTGTGTATGAATGAAGGTCAGGAGGACGATTTTTTTTTTAAAAAAAAAAAGTCACTCAAAATGTAATGAATATTAGACCAGATTTTTTCTGCTGAGACTATTAGTTCTCTAAATCCTTGTGTCAACACTCTGTATTTTTAAAATGTATATAACATACCCTTATTTTATTTTTTTCTCACATTAAGTACAGATTTCATCTTTTTTTAAATTTTTTATTTTTTCATTTCATTTTCTTCCATACATCCAATCACATTATTATTTATCTTACAAAATGGATATTTCAGCAGGTGAACATCTCTCCCCAGCACCGTCGATAAAACCACGAAACATCTTCAACAGATAATACCACACCTCTTGTGCCATTAATGCTTTTCCTCCCTGTCTCTCCCCCAAATGTCCTTCTTCAGACCCTCCTCTTTCACACACACTATATCTGGTATTTACATCTATATACTGAGTTTCTATATCCTTTAGACAATTAGTTTCAGTCATAGAGTGTAGACACATGGCATATATTAAGTGGGGACATACAATGCCTCTCCTTCATAGCATGGCTTGCTTTACTCAGCACTAAGTCTTCCACATTCATCCACTTCCTGTCAAAAGCCAGGGTTTTGTTGTTTTTTATGGATGAATAGTATTCCATTGAATATATGTGCCACAGTTTTTCTAACCATTCATCAGTTCGTGGGCATTTGGGTTGCTTTCATGACTTGGCAATCGTGAAAAGTGCCGCAATAAACATCGATGTGCAAGCACTTTTCTGATAAAGTATTCTTCTGTCCTTTGGGTAGATACCAAGGAGTGGGATTGCTGGATCATATGGTAGTTCTATTTGTAGATTTTTGAGGAATCTCCAAATTGTTCTCCACAGTGGTTGGACCAATTTACATTCCCACCAGCAGTGTAAGAGAGTTCCCTTTTCACCACATCCTCGCCAGCAGTTATCATTTTTTGTTTTTTTAATCTTAGACATTCTGACTGGGGTTAGGTGATATCTCATTGTTGTTTTGATCTGCATCTTGATTTACTTGTTGGGTAATAGCAATGAACTGTGGAAGTACTGACCCATTCCTATCTTCTCCAATAGTAGCCCTACTAGATACTTATTTAAATTAAATATTATAGATTTAATTTTTAGAGATACAAAGATTTTCATCAAAGTTTATCATTTTTTGTCTAGGCTTTTTGCTATGGAGCACATGCACTTGTGGGAGAGACAGAGAGTTAGAAGGGAAGTGAGAAATTGCACACACACCCCTCACCTGAGGAGATGGCCACAGCACAATCCCTTTTCCTCCATTCTCCTCCTGGGATTTTGGACACACACACACTCCTGGTTTGAGATTCAAGCCACCATGGTGGTCTAGGACTCGAATCATGGTCAGCCATGTGGAGTCCAGAGCCTTAACTCCAGGCCACAGATGGTCCCTCTGATAACCTATTTTTTAATTTTTTTTAAGAGAGGTTTGTTTTCACTATAGAGCATATGTGCTCGCTGGAGAGACAGAGAGAGATAGAAAGACAGACAGCAAGAAATCACCCTCCAGGGGGAATGGACATGCCACAACCCCTTCTCCATTCTCCTTTAGGGATCTTGAGCATGCACACACATGAACCCTGCATGAGTTCCAAGCCACCAGTCCAGGACTCAGACCACGATCAACTACCTGGGAGTCCAGTGACATGACCATTATGCAATCTGCTGATCCCATCCCTATGATAACTTCTAAAAAGCCTTCTGGGATTTAGCAGGTAGCATAGTAGTTAAGGCACTGGATTCCCACATGGTCTACCGTGGTGTGAGTTCCAGAACTGGCAGCTTGAAAATCATGCCAGGCACATGTGCATACATGCCCAAAATCCTGACAGATGAATGGAGGAAAAGGGATTGCAGCCTGGCCATCATCCCTGGAGGGTGAGTTCTCTCTTTCTCTCTGTCACTGTCTCCCTTGTACATGTGTCATAGGGCAAAAGAAAAAATCTTAAAAAAAAAAAAACCCTGACAGCAACCCCGTATGTCCGATAAGAGGAAAATTATTAAGTAAATTATGGTATATCCCAAAACATATCATTATTAAGATATTTGTAATATTTTAACTTGAGCAAATAAATATAACATTATGCTAAATCAATTCATGATGCAAGATTATAAATTTTTATGTACATATTTATTTCTTTATTTATTTTCTTTTAGTTTTTGTTATAGGGTGTGTGGGCTCACTAGAGAGAGACAGAGACAGAGAGAGGAAAAGTGAGAAGTCAGCCCCCAGGAGGAATGGCCATGCCACAATTCCTTCTCTTCCATTTTCCACCTGGGATTTTGGGCATGTATGTACATGTGCCTGGCGTGATTTTTAAGCTGCCAGGTAACATGACATCTGTGGGTTCTTAAAAAAAATATGAAAAATGCATATTATTTTTTAAAATGCATGTACTTGAAAGTTTTGTTTTGTTTTTAAGTTTTGCCACAGGACATGTGTGTTCATTGGAGAGAGCCAGAAAGAGACAGTGAGAGGAAAGTGAGAAATCACCCCCAAGGAATGGCCACACTGCTATCCCTCCTCCTCCTGGGATTTTGGGCATGAATGCACACATGCCCAATATGATTTTCAAGCTACCAAGTCTGTGACTTGAACCACCATCAGCCATGTGGGAATCCAGTGCTTTAGTCACCATACCACCAACTGTTCCCATTTTGAAAATTTCCTTGCACCAAAATGAACTCATAATTTAATTTGATTTTGTTCAAAAACCATTTGAAGTCTCCTCATACATATTTACAAAGACTAGAAGGAAAACGTGAAAGGTAATCACTGGTACAGGTAGACAGACAGGATCTTGGTCTAAGTAGGCTTGACTTGCACATTTCAGATGGAAAATATATCATTTTATAATGTGCCTCATGTTACTTTTCAGTACTTATTTTAGGCAGTAAAAAGTATAATTCTATTTTATATATCAATATTAATTTTTATTTTTTTCAGCAAAATTTCTGTTGAATTTCCAAGGTCAAAATTTGAATGTACCTGCTTACACATTAATAGCAAATCTTTGACCTTTGGGAGACTATTTTTTAATGCCTTAAAAATAAAACAAAATGCCATTTATATTTTTAAAGAAATATTTGACATAGGAATAAGTTGATTAATGAAAGAGAACCGAGAATTTTAGCCTGTCTCCTCTCGGTTAACTGGAAAACTCTTCTGTCTTTAAACCCAGCTCAGATGGCATCTTCGTGAGCAGCTGCCTGGCTGTCCTATGAGCTGTTACACTGCTGGACCATCTCGGTGCATTATGCATAATTTTTTTAGTTGTCAAAGAGTATGTACTAGCTAGAGAGAGACAAAGAGACAGCGAGAGAAAGGAGAGGGAAAAGACACCTGCCCTGATGGAGCGTGGTCATGCTGTAATCCCCTCTTCTCAGTTTCCCCATCTTGCTGGCATTTGGAGCACACACGCACATATGCTCACCATGTTTTTCAAGCCACCAGGGCTGGGATGGAAACTGTGGCCAGCCCCATGGGACCTGGCCATTTTAATCAGAGGGCCATGGTGCTGGCCCTGCTCTTCTATTGTTTTGGCTTCCCACAATGCACCCTCACAGCTATTCTCTGATGCCCCAACTAGACAGTGAAGCCCTCTGCGGGCAGGGCCTGCCTGGATTCTGCATCATGACTGGCATGTAACGGGAACGGAATCTAAGTTCTCGGTCTGATGACAGAGGACCGCTCACTGGACCAAGTCGACATCCAGTTCTAGGTGTACACAGCACTCTGCTACCCAGAGCCAGGGCAAACAGGTGTCATCTCGTGGGTTCACTTTGGGTTCTCATTTATTTATTTTAATTTGCTAGAAGACACATGTATTCACCAGAGAGAGACAGAGAGAAAGAGAAGGAAAGCAAGAAAGCCTCCTGGGGGGCTGTTCACACTACAACACCTTCTCCTCTGTCTCTCCCTCCTTTGGGACTCTCAGCACACACACACACACACACACACACACACACACACATGTGCCCAGCATGTTCTCCAAGCTGTCAAGTGCAGGGCTTGAACCACAGAGTTGTCCATGTGGGATCTACCCGCCTGAAACACCTTGGCACCAGGTAGCCCTGTGTTTGATTTTAAAGCAGAAAGTCCCTAGAAAGAAACATAGTAAAACGCAGCTTACCTGTATGTCTGTCTCTGAGGGCGGTTTTACACATTTCAATCCTGGCCGAATGAAATGGCACATAGCGGTCTTGGGGAGAAGCAACCAGCACGACGTTTTTAAAATACTGCAGCCCTGAACCAAGAAGCCAGAGAAGTGTTTTTAAGCTGGAAATGTCCACTCATACATTGTATGGTTGGTGCACAATTTACAGACATGCCCTGAGAAGGGAATGCTAAGGAGAGCCAGACCCTCTCGCTGCGCCGTTGCACACGGACCTTCCACTCTGAGGTCAACAATGACAGGCCAACAGCAGAGGAATCATGGTGTCTAGGGGAGACTGAGGAAAGAACTCAGTACCCTAAGGCTTTTGCACACAACAGAGAGGGTAAGATCCTTGTTCTCATCAGTTATGGAAGCTAAGGAGACCCAGAGCAGGAGAAGTAACACATACGTGGCAACAAAAGCTTTTGGGAGACTTGGTCATGGTGGTGTGAGCAGCAGGGCCCTCTGTGAGAGGCTACAGCCACATGGGAGGCCCAGGTTTGGTCCAGGATCAACCTGAACAGACTGCGTGACCACCTAATCCTAGCTAGTGAGAGGGCTGAGCCAGGAGGATTGTGGAATAGTGAGACCTTATGTGAAATGCCTAATTTTCTTCTCTGTCTAGCTAAGAAAAAAAAAAAAAAGCAGCTTTCGGTAGCCAGGAACATGAAGGCACACATAAGGAGGTGAGTGGCCTCTTCCTCCTCACTACCAGCAGCCCCCTGAGGTCCAGCATCATACCTCCCTGTCTCAAGCCTTGCCTTCCTGCAATCAGCCCCACAGTGCAAACGCGGCTCTTCCACATTACACACCACGGTGTGTTTGCAGTCTTCAGGACCCATCATGCATGTCCGGGGCACTGTTCTGTGCTGCCAGGTGGCCTGTGTGGACCAGACACTCACCCCAGATGATACTGAGCGGGTGGGCAGCCAGCAGTACTCAGCCATGTGACCCTCCACCAGAGGGGGTTCTCTTATCCAAGATCACATCTCGAGATCGTACACTGAGGAGCAGCCTGTGTCAGTGATGGCCAGCATGGGCACTGGGAAGAGCCAGTCTTGTGCCCACCTCTAGGCAGTGTAGGCCACCCCAGAGCCCAAGCTTCCATGGGTGGGCCTTAGTAGGGCCTCTGGTGTGTGGTATCCACACTGCAGCCTCACTCTCACCTCTACCCAATCCCGCTTTCCTCACTCCCCCGTAGGGGATAACTCCAAAAGTTCAGTTGAGCGCAGGGACAGAGCAGGGAAGGAACTGCTCAGGTTTACAGACCAGCCTGTCACATTCACAGAGGTGCAGAGCTGTCAACCGAGTTGGTATTAACAGGATGACAGAAGACTGAACCCAGGCCAGGCTGGCTTGCTTGGCAGAGCTGAACAGGCCAGTCAGCTGTTTCCCCCTTACTGCACATGGGCAGCACAGGTCTCTGATTGCTGCTGCCCCTGTGGTCATGCCTAGGATGCAAGCAGGGTCTTCGCCATCTCTGTACTCATCCTCACGACAGAGTGTGGTGAAAGGGGGCTGCCAGGTGGGCTGGGAATGGCCTCTGCCCCCACTGCACAGCTGGAATAAATGGGAAATGCTGCACCTGCCCTTCTTCATCTTAGGGGTCTGTACTGGATGAAGCTGGCACACAGATCTAGGGCCTGTACAATTAGAGCACTGGCAGACTGGGGAGAAGTGGGCAGCTTCTGCACGCTGAGATGACCGACATGTACCTCTCACATGCCAAGTGGGAAATCTATAAAGAGAAACTGAGCCCTTGAGTAGCTGTCGGCCTCTCAGTGCAAGAGGCTTTGTATCCTGGCCCTCCTGATTACACCTCTCTATGAACAAATCAGCTTAGCAGCAGAGTTAATTTACGTCTCAGAAGTTAGAACCCAAGTTCAAACTCATAATTGCTGCACACAGAAAAACACCTACCTGTTTTTTGGCTTAACTGATAGAGGAAACATTTACGCAAATCAGCATTATCCCTGAAGGTCAGCTGCAAAAGGGATCCGGATTTCTTCAGTTTCTGCATGAGCCATAAGCCTAGGGAGATGAAAACCAAACAGAAATAAACATAACACAAACAAAATGAAACAAAAACAAACTGGGGTGAGATTGTGGCGTGATTAAGATTACACTGCATTTTTAGTTAACTTGAAAACAAATGAGTAGAAGGCTCAGACCAGCAGGTGGCACAGAGGTTAGGTGCTGGATTTCCAGTAGTTGACCATGGTTCGAGTCCTGGAACTGGCAGCTCAAAACTCACATCAGGTGCATCTGCCTGAGTGCCCAAAATCCTGAAAGGAGAATGGAGGAGAAGGGATTGCAGCTTGACCATCCCTCCTGGAGGGTGATTTCTTGCTTTTTGTCTCTCTGTCTCTCTGGAAAGCACATGCACCCTATAACAAAAATCTCTTTTAAAAAATGAGTAGCAGCAAATACTTGGAAAGCTAGAGGTAAACTTCTATTCTTAGCTACTGAGGGTAGAGATATAAAATCATCCTACAAAATGGAATGTCAATAGGCTTCCAGAGACACAAAATGATCCACAGCCTTCAATCCAGTCAATCTCCTTCTGAAAATAAGGCCTAATGAAACAGTGCTCAGTATGAAGAATGTGTAAGAGTCCATTATGGATCCACTTAGGATACTAGAGAACTAGAAAAAGCATTCCATTTAGAGAGCCTGTGCATTCAGCTGTGCTTCTGCAGACAATAACATTGATGAGTGTAAGTTTTATGTCACAACCAACCAATAAACTTTACTAAAACACAAGGAAATAAGATACATTACCATGACTGCTATGAAAATGTGCATCTGTCCAAAGATACAATATACAAAATTATCCTTTTTAAAAAGCTTCTTTAATGTTGCAAAATTATAATTTCCAGGGGAAAATATGGTTCAACTCATTGGTTTTTGCCCAGAGATATGACTTCCTTAGTTTGTGAGGAAAGACACAGTACCAGAAAAAAGGACTTTGACCTTTTTTCTTTTCTTTCTTTCTCTTTTAAAATTGTTGTAGTCACATGCATTCACGAGAGAGAGAGAGAGAGAAGGAGAGAGAGAGAAAAAGGACCTCCCAGGGGCACAAGCATGACACAGTCCCTCCTCCTCCATTTGCCCCTTGGGATTTTGGGCATGCACAAATGCATGCCTGGTATGGATCCAAGACTCAAACCACAGTCAGTCATATGGGATCCAGCTTCCTTAACCACCATGCCACCTGGCTGGCCTAGAACTTCCACTTCTTAAGTGTTACTGTGTCAGTTAACTCACAGTAACAAGAAACGACCTTAAAATAACTTGAAAGCAACAAGCTAATGTGACCGTGTTGTGAAAGACAACCTGAGTACAGGAAAGGCACATGGGGTCCCAGCGAAGGGCTGGAAGACTGCCAGGGAGGGGAGCTTATTAGGGCTGACTCTAAGCCACATATGAATCTACACATCAGGGACAATGTAGTGTTTGTTGGGAGCGTGATTGAATACACTATTTATTATGCTATCAGGCCTGATGACCCACTTGGTCTTCCATCAACATGACATTTCACGTCCTCATTTAAAAGCGCAGTTGTAGTATCTGTACAGTCTCGAGGGTGATGCTACCATCTTGTCTCATCACATGACAACTTTCATCCTCTGGCTCTTGTCGAGCACCCCATTACCATCCCCTGCCCTCCAGGACATGCTGAATTTCTATCCCAGAGAGCGGCCTGCAGTTGCTGGCTGGCCTGATTCTAGGTTGTTAAAGGTACTGTTTTTTTCTGCACAGAAAACTCTTTCCAGCAATCACAATCTTGGAAATCCTGCTCATCTTCTGAAATACACTGGGCCATGATTCTTTACCTTCTTTGGTTCTTCATCTTCAGAACACAGATGAAGTTACGAGGCCCTCCTTGCCTGAGATAAGCAGGCAGTATATAATTCAGCTATTTGAACTTTCGTAAATATTAGTTAAGTCCATTTCCCTTCTCTGGTTCAAACCTCAACAATTCTGACACACATGCACACTCACATACCATAGCTGTGTGCCTACACATACATATCATATACACATACATCTGCGTAATACATGTGTACACGCATACACATGTAACTTACATATGCATTTTATGAATAAGGGAAGTACGTGGCATTGAGATTCAGTGTCTTGGCCAGCGTCCTCCCTACGTATCTGGGTGAGAACTTAGCCACAGTCTCGGTTCATGCATGACGTGATTCAGTCTAAGTTCTCTCCATCACAGCGTTGTGCCTCATCGATCTTTCCCAACCAGACTCCCAGAGACATCACTGCTGTTTTCACAGAAATTTGAAGGCAGAAAAGACCTTAGAACACATCCGGTCTAGCCTCACTCAGCTTATAAACAAAAGAGCCATTTCTAAGCCAGGTCTCTTTCCGGTTTCATGCTCCACTGAGGTGCAAGCGCACAGTCTTACAAAGAGCTGTGCCCCTGAGTTACTGGGTCTAGGGCCCATGTTCATTTTTAAAAAAGATGAGTCTTGGCAAAGTCTTACCTGTACTGACCAGGGTGCTGTTGTTGTACAGGGTCCCCAGGTGAGGCCCGGACAGTGACAGGAAAGTGTGGAGTTTGTTGAGGTAATACCGGAACCGGGGCCGAGTGAGGACGGAGCGGATGATAATGTTTCCGAGAGAATGGCCGACAAAGCTGTTGGGAGTCAGAAATGGTGCCTGTAAGTGCCCGTGAAGGAGGGCTGCCCGGGAGCACTGCACTGGGAGGCAAGGGGTCAGCTGCCCGCTGCCTCCCCCTGGACTTGGAGAAACCAGCACAGCAACGGGGACCACTAGTGCACCCTCTCTGGGTCTCAAAGTTCTGGCTGCAGGAAGCCTGCGATAGGGGTCCTGAAATGGCTGCTCTGAGCTCAGTGTGCCTGAGGAGCAGTGCAGCACTTCGCCCAGCTTTGCATTATCAGGGCAACCGCCCCTCTCCTCCGCCCTCCATGGCTACTGTCTGCCTACCCGGGGGACGTGGGTCTGTGCACCGATGGGCCGCTCCAAACTCCTCACCCTGGCTGGGAGCCAGCGGGTAACCTAACTCTGCCTGCCTCTCTGATGCTCCCCGGCTGTTTGTGGAGTGGCCTCTCCCAGCCCACCCCGTGTGCGACACCTTTCTGCACGTTCTCCCAGCCCTGCGGCTACCCACAGGCCGTGAACTCAACACAGCGTCATTTTCAAGTGAAATAATCACTCACTGAAAGTCTGTTGCATGAGAGGTGCTTCCCATCGCTTATGATAAGCAAAGTCAGCCAAAAAGTAAATGAACGCTAGTTTATAAAATGCACTGCTTCACTTGCATCCTTCTATTTGGCCTACCCTCCATAGGTCTAAGAATCCTCACATGTAGAACAAAGAAGTGATAGTTCGTCTCTGAACTCTTTATGGGGTAACGCATACCGAGGACTTAGCACTCTGTCCTCATACTCAAATGCTGAACAAGCGAAAACTGCTCACTACCTATCACCCTCGTTGCTAAGTCACAGACCAAGTCACGGTTACAATGCAGTGTTACAGTGCCGAGAGAACCCTCCCTCCATGCAGCCAACTCACGCAGGTTTTCTGTTTTGTTTTGTGCTGTTTTTCTTTTTAGTTTTGCCATAGGGTGTGTGCACTCACTGGAGAGAGACAAAGGGGGGGGATGGAAAATCATCCCCCAGGGGTATGGCCATGCTGCAATCCCTTCTCCATGCTCTCCTTAGGGTTTTGGTCATACACACACACACACACACACACACAGTGTAAGTTTCAAGTTGTGACAGGTCTGGAACTTGAACCATAAAGTCAGCCATGTGGGATCCAGCCTCTTTAACCTCCATGCCACCTGCTGTCCCACCATTCAGCTTTTCAACATTATGAACAGATGCTAAAAACTTAATAAATGAGAGAACAGGGGTTTGGAGGCTTGGCTCCAAGCATGTACAAACATTTGCACACCTGTAACACGGCACAGCCAGGACTCGAACTGTGAGTGTCAGAATAGGAATCCAGACCTGGAGTTTTCGACCCTCCATTGAGCTACAAAAGGTTACCCTGTCACACACATGCTGTGACAGAGGTGGATGTGGAACCAGCCCCAGCACTCATTTCTAAAAGGAATCCACTCTGTGAAAAGCTACAGGTTAGCTTATCCTGGTGACGTACGGAAGGCATCACCCCAAACTTGTATACAACAGACTCTACAGTGCCCCCGTTGTCCCTCAGTGTCGCCTCCCCATGCTTTCCTGTTACCTGATTCGGGATATGGAGAGGTTGTACAACTGAATGTGCTGAATGATCTCATCCAGTAACCGATCAGTCATGGTATCGAAGTCCGCAAAAGTGTCCATCTGGAAGGAGAGAGGGGAAGGGTGTTGGTAGGGTCACGGCCCAGGACGGGCTCTACCCAATCACGTCTTTTCCAGTAAACATCATGGGATGTTCTGGGAGGAGGTCTAAGCTGCCGTCAAGGTTCCAGATGAGATCTGATGTCTGGACAAAGGGCTCCCAGACTGGGGCTTTGCTGAAGAATCTCGGAGATGTTGATGAATCCTCTGTGAGAAAACTGATGGAAAACTGAAGGGAGAGCAGAAGAGGGCAGTGGCACGTTGGCAGTGCTAACTGCTACCTCACACGCCCTCGGTGTGGCTGGGCCCTCTTCACAGAGGAGGACATACGCTCCGACAGCAGAGGCCGCTCGCTCACCTCACATGAGCCAGGATTCACGCGAGACGTGCCTGACTCCAAAGTCCCACCCCTCCCCTGGCAGTCTGTTGACTGTGCTACTGGGTCACGTCCAGAGGGTGACGCCAGCTTTGGGAAGGGTCCCCAAACCAACTGTGTTTTAGGAAGGATGGTTTAAGAATATAGAAGCATAAATGGAAAAATATCACATGTCTATGAAGTTTCAAGAAGCAGATGCAGAAAGACATGTGAAATTGGCTTATACAACTTCGTGGACCAAGTTTTGGAAACGCAGATGGGAGCCACAGAGAAGCAGATTTGGCTTCAAAAGAGCAAATAAATGAAGTTCCTTTTAGTAGAGCTGTCCTACGGTGTCACGGACTATCTGGAGCTTGTGCGCCCAGGTTAGGAAAAGAGAACACGGGTCTCACAAATACCTATCAGGGCACTGAAGAAGTGAGGGCACGTGAGGAAAAGAAGCCTTTGGGACTCACTGTCACCTGCCATTCAGTGAGCTTTGAGGCCCCAGGGGGTGAAGCTCACTGGTCGGCTCCCCAGTCCCTGTCCGTGGGGCGTGCACTTCCCCAGTCTGAACCTAGGACTCCTTCTCCCTTACAGGGGGCAGTGTAGCCTACTCCTTGGCAGCACTTGAAGATAAACACGCTTCAACCCAGGACAGACGCTGCACTCATCACTACCCACTACCTTTTTAGAGTCTGTTTATCTGTAAATGAACAGTTCAGCATGTTAATTATTAAATAAACGGTTTTGGTTATGAGACCTGAGTCTCATGATGAGAAATGCTCTGGAAATCACAGTAGGTTTGAAAACCTGTACCAGCAGCTCCCCCACTAACGTGTTTTGAAAGAAATATACGGCATAGGTACCTGACTATGAAATGCTCACACGACCTCCAAGAGGTAAGGACAAGGCACTGTGCAGTGTCATTGGTACGGAGTGACCGCTGCTCCATCAGGTACTTGTGTGAAGTCCCTGTGCTATCTCAGCAGCTCCCAGCTGTACAAGGTGGCCGAATGCACAGACGGGACCACAGAGCTGGCTCTCTCGCTAACTCGTCTCCTCTGAAAATCTCCCTTGCACGAATCATAATCATAATGCTGACCAGTGCGGGTCACTGCCTTCCCTGCTGCCCCTCTGAATGCCTGGCGTCCTCTCTTGGGACTGGTCAAGTTTGGGCACATGCTCAAGCGGGGTGTGCACAGACATTATCTTCCAAGATCACGAGTGGTGTCTTCCTCTCCAGCTCAGACAGCAGAACCCTGAGAAAGTCCCAGAGCCAGTTTCCCCTTCCGTGAGGAGCTGTGCATTAACACAGAGCTCAGTATTGTGAAGACGGAGTGACGGCAAGGCAGAAGCACTCAGCACACAGCGACACTCACAGTAACGCTTTCCTTCTCCTCACATTACGAGTCTGGGAGTGCAAAGAAAAGGCAGCAGCACTGAGATCCAGGTGCCGAGGAGGGAGAGGCTGCCTTCCAGAGTCGGCTGGCTGGTTACCCTCCGCACAGTTCCCATTGTCAGTGGTCACGGGACTCTGGTTACAGGCAGCTCTGTGCCTCCGAAGGAGTAAGTCCTCACTGGTCTCAAGTCCTCACTGGTCTCAAGTCCTCACTGGTCTCGAGAGCCAGGATGGGGGATTAGGAGTCCTCCATCTGCACCATCTCTTGGCAGTGAATTCTGTAAAGTCTCATCTACTTTGACACCTACTAGAGCCCTAGTTCTACCCCCGAACACAGCAAATGTCCCCGACATCCCCTCTGACTGTAAAGCCATCACACCCAGCCCCGCTGGTTACACAGATTCCGTGACAGCCCCCTTTCCACCAGCTCACATTCATCGAGTCCCAAGTACTTTATGGTCCAAGATGCCGCCCACTCTAGTGCCTGTGAGGGCAAAGGCCCAAGTCACCTGACTTGCATGGTTTCATTTGTTACCTTTTCACACCCATCCTAAAGTAAGCAGTACCTCTTTCTCTCTAAGCCATCTCAGTGCCTGCCGAGTGTCCTTTTTCCAGACCCTTTCCTATCGGTGTATGTCCAAAAATGATCATGGTGCCTTTGGGGGACTCAAGTGGGACATTCCTCCAGGGTTCTTTCAGTTCTGATGCATTTGTGGCCGTACTCACCTGGTTCTTTTCAGACATGAGGAAGTCCAGTTTTCCTCCAGGGAGCCCCAGTTCTATGAAAGTCTTGACCAGCCGAAGGTCTGCACTATTCCCTAAAAATGACAACAACCCCCACCCCAGCCCCATAGTTAATCATGTAAGATGTGCCACCAAGGGGTTTCTGGCTCCTTCTCCCCCTTCCCCCTGGATTTGTGGTTAAGCAGACAATAGGAGCAAGTAAAGCACGCCCAACCCCTTTCTTCCCCGATGCCCCTGCCTAGCACACACTCACACTCAGCCTGGTCCCCGCCAGTGGTTACACTCCGAGGAGCGGCTCCCTGACTGGCTAGCACACGGCTGTGCGCACTGTGCACAGGAGCCACAGAGAAGCAGAACTGTGCCACCTTCTCTTCATCCACAGGAAGTTTTATTTACACAGGACATTTCCCAAGTGGTGCCACCAGGGGTGGGTGCAACACAATGTGGCCCCTACCAGCCCCTTTAGTTATGTGCTGGACACAGGGACTACCTGGTCTGCCATGTATGGGTCATCAGAAAGCCAATCACAGCAGTTATTTAAACGGAACAGTCATCTCCCTTTGGAACAGAAGTCCTGAGAGAGGAAGCCCTGTGGGTATGGTAGTGAGGGGCAGGGGAAGGGATGATTATAAATTTGAGGCCATTGTTAACAGTACAGGCACAAAGGACATAGGGAATGCATTCTTGAAATGAAAATCAGTGGGACACTGGATTTAATTGATAGGACAAGACACATAGTTAAGTATTTTTAGGCATGATTTTCAGGCAGGTCATAGAGGTTCAGCTGGATCTTAATGAACTTTGACCTTTTCCTCAAAGAGCTCCCTGTGGAGTTGAGGGTTAGAAGCTGTCTGTTTGGATACGTAGGCTACCTACTTTTATTATTCATTCGAACTGCAACCAGGACTGGGATTGGAACCAAGGTCAGCCATGTGAGGTCTGGGTCCCTTTAACGCTGGGCTATAGGACCAACCCCTGAGGATTATCTACTTTCCATGTTAAAGTCGCGATGCATTTTTGCATAGCAAAAAGATAGAAAATACATCATAACTCCTCTGAGGACCCGGTATATCCCACAGGTCATATTCCAGAGTAGTTTGTAAACTGCAAGTGAAACTACAGCTGGTTTTGTGTCATCCTTTATGAGTCAAAGGAGGGTGGAGAGTCATGTGGGATTTAAGGAAACTTGAGGTGTTTGAGAAGACTCCTCATCCTTAAGGATGACTTGATGTGTTCAAACACTACCCATAGCTGGTCAGAGCACGTGATCAAACTTGCAGGGTATAGTCATAAAATAGCCATATTCTTTTAGGAAATGTATTTTATGTTATAAAGTTACATTTTATTCCTTCTTTCTTTCATTTCTGTCAGTAAAATAGGACTCTTTGGCCCTGCTGTTGCTGGTGTTCAGTGTTCCCAAGTGACACTCCAGGGCCTGGCCTTAGAAAGCTGACTCTGGGGCCAGCAAGTGGTATGGTGAATAAGGTGCTGGGTTTCCACATGGCTGAGCACAGTTCAAGTCACAGACTCAGCGACCTGGAAATCACATCAGGCATGTGTGCATCCATGCCCAAAATTCTGAGATGAGAATGGAGGAGAGGGATTGCGGCTTGGCCTACCATCCAGAGGATGATTTTTTACTTTCCCTCTCTCTGTCTCTTTCAGTCTCTCTTTGGTGGCTCAGGTGCCCTAGAGAAAAAAACCTAAAGGAAAAAAAAGCTGACCAAGCTGCAGTGGTGCAGGTGAAACGGAGTCATGTGTGAGGCCCCAGGTTTGGTCTTGGGTCGACCTGAACTTTCTGGGTGTGCCTGTGGTCCTAGCTGGAAAGTTGCTGTGTAATGAGACCTGTCAGGGTTGCCCCCTCCACTTCCTCTCTCAATAAACTTGAATAAAAAGTTACAAGTGAGGCCAGCAGGTGGCATGCTGGGTGAGGCAGCAGGACTCTCACAGGCTAACTGGTTTCCTGACCCAGTGGCTTGAAAAAATCATGTTGGGCATGTATGCATACATGCCCCAAACCCCAGGAAGAGACCGGATGAGAAGGGATTGCAGGATGGCCATCTGCCTGGGGGGATGATTTCACTCTCTTTGTTTCTCTCCAGTGAGTGCACATGCCCTATAGCAAAAACGAAACAAAACAAAACAAAAACTAACAAACAAACAAAAACTAAAAAAATAAGAAAGAAAACGGTTTCAAGTGTTTACATTTAGCATAAAGAGGTAAGTAAAAGCTGAAAATAGTCCTTTTCAGCTACTGAGAGAGAACTTTCTGCAATTTAACACTTTCTCAGAAAATGTGATTTAATAGTGTTGAGAACATATATAAAAATATAAATGTTGGGCTTTTGGCATAACATGAAGAGCTGAGTTAACTCCGTAACTGTTATCAATGTACTCAGTTTTCTGCTGATATAAAAATACCCTTGAAAACAGAATTTGAATATAAAGAGATCCTATAAAATTCTGGTTAGTGTAGACATAGGCACCTTGAACTAAAGAAGTAACCTTCAAAATAACTGGTGTCAGTTGTCTTTCTTATAACTTGTCCAGATGATCTGAGAAACTAACAGCTCAGTTTTCTGACATGGTATAATGGAGAAGATGAGATGCCTTCCCTTTTTTTTTTTTTAATTGCCAGAGGACGTGAGCACACACCATCAAGAGAGACAGTAAGAGAGAGATCTGGTATAAATGTCCCACCTATCCACCATGGGAGGTGGTGTGCTACAATCTTTTATCCTCCACTGCTCCCTCTTTTGGGGATTATGGGCACACACGCACATGTTCCCGGAGTGTCTTGTCAAGCCTCCAGGACTCGAACAGCAAGTCGGCCATGTGGGATCCAGGTGCCTTAACCATCATACCATAGGTTGACCCAATACGGTATCTTTATAATGTTCCTCTTGTCCCGCATGTGTGATGGAAGGAATAAAAGCCTATGAGCTGAACAGATTATTATTTTAACAAAAAATGGAGAGTCTTGTCTCATTTTAATTTAATAATGCCTAAGTATAGAGGACACCCTGGCAGCGTGTGGCATTCGGCTGATAAATGAGAGTCTTTGTCTCTGCAAGTCCCAGAACTTTGCAGAGTGTCTGGTATTCAAAAGGTTCCTCATTAAGTGTGAGGGAAATAAAAATAAGCACCAAAACCTTTTTATTTATTTATATTTTTTGAGAGATTTTTGCAATAGGGCACACACGCTTGCCAGTGAGACAGAGAGACAGAAAGTGAGAAATTACCTCGGGGGGGATGGCCATGATGCATTCCCTTCTCCTCCATTCTCCTCTTGGGATTTTGCATATGCACACACATGCATTTGGCATGAGTTTTAAGCCACCAGGTCCGGGACTCAAACCCTTGTCAGCTATGTGAGAGTCCAGCCATGTAACTGTTCCACCATCTGCTGGTCCCAAGCAGCAAAATCTTTTGGAATACTAACCTGAGCTCCTCAAAATAAATCCATTCAGTCATTCACTCCACTTCTTTCTTTATTCATACCACATTATTGACTAATAATTTCATTTAATTCATGTGTTCTAATTATCCATGCAGTTCACTGATATATCTATCTCTATAATATATTATTTTCATTCATTCATTCACTTCATTCCTTCTTTTATTCTTTCCATTCATTTATTCACTATAGTAATCAATTCATTTGTATGTTTTATTTACTCAATGAATTATTTTTGTGCCCAGAGATATTTTCTTAAAGAAAAAGGCCATGCCACTTGTCATGGTTACTTATATCCATCATTGACACTGAACATTTTGTTGAATGAATACCTGATCTAAATTAATATGTAAACATTAGAAAGTATATATTGTACAGAATTTTTAGTAAGGCTTTTTTTAAAAACTCACCATCCAAGCCATGCACGCAGACAACCAGGTGAATCCCATCTTCCAGATTTTCTTCCTCTTCCTCTGGTGGGAAATATGGTATATCAGAAGCTAGGACAGATAAGTCACTGTACAGAAATCCTTCAATCTTCAGTTCTTTTTTAAATTTTTCTTTGGCCTGATAAAAACTGGAGAATACACTAATTAATCAGAAGCTGAGCATGCATTCCAAGAACAGGAGATGAGTTGGCTGCTGTGGCGCGACAAGTGCCCACTAACACCGTGTCTCCTAAGGAGCCAACGCCAGGACCGGCAGTTAGCGAATTGGCTATGTTGCTGGACTCCCAGGTAGTCAACTCCAGTTCGAGTCCTGGACCGGGTGGCTTAAACTCATGCCAGGTGTGTGTGCTTGCGTGCCCAGGATCCCGAGAGAAGAATGGAGGAGAAGGGATTGCAGTGTGGCCATTCCCCCGGGGGGTGATTTCTCGCTTTCTGTCTCTGTCTCTCTGTCTTTCTGGTGAGTGCACGTGCCTTATAGCAAAAACCTCTAAAAAAAAAAAAAAGGAGCCATCGCCGACTGTGAGACCTTGAAGAAGCCAGTGGGTGAAGCTTCGTTCTGAGTAAGGATGCACGAAAGCCCCCCAGAAATCCCAAGGCAGGTATTGGTTGTGCAGGTTTTCATGTGGTTCTGGCATTGAGCAGGAGACTGGGTGATAAGATTTTATGCAGTTCCAAGTATTTAAAAAGATCCCTCCAGACTGAAAGCTTCTTATCCTGACTGCGCATCCACCATGACTTAGCCTCTACCGGCTTTCCCAGCATCCCCCACCACTCCAGCCCCAACCCACGTTTCTTTTAACTCCCAGTAGGAAATGCACAGTGGGTGTGAGTCTGGACTCAGGAGTTAAACTGTCAAGTCAGAATCTCGACTCCGACCCTGCTATTACTATTATCTGTCTTTAGCCATCTCCCCCAACCCCATGGTCCCCATCACTGTCTCTTACATTCTCCTCTCAGCACACTCAGCACAAGTGTCATCTCTGAGAAGTTTCTGCTGGTCACTATCCCTCCTCACACTTGCTGTAATTCCACCGTGCACACCTGGCTCGCCACGTTTACCCAGCCACTGCCTTAATTTACTTCTCTCATCTCCCTGTCTCCCTGTTAGACTGAGAGCACATTAAAGCCAGTGACTGTCATGTCCTTGCTGAACTGACGACAAGTGACATACAGCAAGTACTTAATAGTCTTTATAAAATTAAAGATCCGGTGTTTAACTGCCTATATAGTTTCTTTTGGGGATACCATTAATATGCAACTCATTAGCAGCTTGCAGAAGAGTAGCTGAAATGGTATGTTTTGATAAACTGAATCTGTTATCTGTAAGTGAGGAAGCAGTATAAACGTCAGTCCAGCAGGAGGATGAAGGGGTGGATTCTGGCATTGCAAAGGACAAGAAACCAAGAGCCCCACAATCTTAAAAGGGGCCTAGGAGGTAAATTTGAATATGTTCTATTTCCCAAAGACTCTTAAAGAATGGCCTTCTCAAAATGCACAAAGAGAGGTACAATGATATTCAGACAAGAGTTGTTTATCCCAACAAAATTTAAATATTCATCTTTAAAGAATTTGGTGAATAAATCACAATCCATCCATATAAGAAAAGTGTGTAAACTTCAAAAATGCCAAAAAAAAGATTTGTAAACAGAAAAATATTTTCAATGTATTATTGAATTTAAAAAATTATATGACAGAGTTCGCCCAGAATGACCTTATTTTTGCATAAAAGGCATCATATGTGTGTGTGTGTGTGTGTGTTTGTATAAATCTGAAAGAACATGCATAGTGGTAATACTCAGGAAGTGGGCTGATCTGTCATTTTTATTTTCTTACACCGTTCTGATTCGATTATGAGTGTGTTACTTTCTCTAAGTCAGAAAATTATAAGTATGTCGATTTTGAAGTAGTGTGCATGACACTGGGAAATATGTGGGGACACCTGAAGAACTGTTTGGGACAGGAATGCCATCTGAGCTCACCTAGACATCCTCTCACTGACTTCTTCCTCCACGCTCCTGGAATGGGGAGGAACAACTCCAAAGGAACCCAAAGGCTGGTGCGTGATGGGAAACGGGGTCTGTTTGGAAGAGAATCCAACCCTGGCAGGGGTCTCTTTGGGCACAGATGAGAAAGGGAGACAGGTGGCAGTGCAAGACACAGATAAGTTAACGACTTCCACGGCCTTCAGGCTGTCCAGTGTGAAGGTCTCTGCAGGGCCAAGGTGAGGCCCTGTAATGGAAGTGCCTGTCTTTGGCTCTGGGGTTCTCCCTTGGGAGTGAATGGAGTGAGTCACAGTGGGGCACACAGGGCCAGCTCCTCTGTCAAACGCTGTGTCATCAATGATGTAAGCAGACCGGCTTTGCTTGCCTGTTGAGTCCTTATTGACAGCGTCGTTCGCTGATGGACAGCTCGATGCAGGCACCTTATGGTAGGAGATAACCTCAGCCCCTGAGATGTCACTGCTAGAAAGATCTACTTTGTCCACAATCAAGTCTGAAGAAGTGCCTTTTGGGGTTTCCACTCGTGCTCTGTGAGAAGACCTGGAACTGGGGTTTTCAAGAGCTATGACAGGTGGAATTGATACATCAAGACCTTTGGTTTCAACACCCGGAGTGTCTTCCGTACTGCCATCAAGAAGACAGTGTCTTTTAGGATCCGAGTGACTCCCTTTACCTTTGGGGATGTCTATGTAGCCAGGGCCCTGCTGGCTTTCAGCATCTAAAACTATTTCCACAAAAGAATGTTCCACCACTGTGTCCTGGGTCATGGAGCCTCCACAAAGTTGAGAACAGTGTCCAGGGGAATTTTGGCTCTCGTGCATGTCCAAAGCTTCAGCAAAGCCTCCTCCCTGCTGCACAGCATCTGCATCTTCTGCAGTCTCCTCTGGGCTGCTGATTTGGGGTGCAGAGGCAGATTTGGTTAGCTTGGTGAGTGCCAGCTCCCGCTCCTCCTCCTCAAAGGGCAGAGAACTAATGGAGGTGAGTGAAGCCTGAATGCCACTGGGCAAACTCGCACTGCTTTCTGTGTGCCCTCCCTCCAGGGAGCTCCTGTGCAGTGCATGTCTTCGAACTAACACATGCAAGACTTCCCGATCACTGGGTAGGTCCAGCACCCTGCTTCGGGCCTCAGACCAAGCAACGGAGCTTGGCTCACTTTCGATGCCTGAATCAGAGATAATAGAAGAAGATCTCTTGATGACCCCAGAGAGCACCGATAGTTCCTCCTGCTCTTCTGTGTGAGGGTCCTTCAGAGAAGACCTAATATTCAAGGAGTCCCTTGGAGTGGAGCTTAATGGGTCACGGGGCTCTGAGGGGGTGAGTTTCAGACTCAGCATCACCATCCTACCTTCTGGGTCTGCTCCCTTTCCTGGAGCTCCAAATTCATCGAGAAGTGCTCTCTCTGGTGAGACGGCATTTTGGGGGCTTCCACCTGCCACCACTCTGCTTTGCACAGTCCCAACAAGCCTGCAGCTGCCCCCAGAGCTCCTACTTTCACACTGAGCGCCAGGGCCCACTGTGGGTTCTGCTCTGCAGGGGTTCTTATTGCTAGATTTCACATCGATGTAGGTCAGTGCTGAGGCCTGGCCATCCTCTGGGCCTGCACTCTTTCTGGGCATGTCCCTGTCTGCCAGCGGCTCTGTTCTAGCATCCGGCTTTCTGTCAGGCCAACGTTCATCTTCGGGCACACCTGCTTGGGTCTGGAACTCACCAATGGTCAGATACACCTGCGATTCAGAGCACACGTCCTTATGACTCAGTGTGGCAACATTGTCATCTGGCTCCTCACACCTAAGAGACTCCTCGTCACAGTCCATTTGGGGTGGCTTCATAGTAGACAGGGTAAGATCGTTCCTCAAAGGTGCTTTATGGTTTACAGTATGGTTTTCTTCCTTCTCTTTTAGATTCATTATTGCAGGGCTGGTTGCTGGAGTTTCAAAGTTAGGATAAACACTCAAATTATGCCCTACAAAATGAAAAAAGAACATTTGATTATAGTTTAAGAGTCTATGTTCACAAGCATAATAAAGAATTTTGCTTTATTTTATTCCTCATTCCTGGGAAATTCCCTCTAGATTCTTGGAGTCTGCTCAATGATAGGAGCGTCTTTATTATTCATGAGGGTCCTGATAGTTCCTGCTAACTAGGTGACATCTGAGGAATCCTACTGTTTATGCTAATGAGATTATTCAGAACAGGTGCTAAACTTGCCAGGCAGTTCAGCCATGTAATCAGAGGGTTAGGACCTTGAGTCAAGTAATATCGGCCTCACCTCTGAAGAGGAGAGATTGAGTGCAGTCATACAGCCAGTGACTCAATCAATCATTAAAATAAATAATAAAACCCCAGTAAAAACCTCTGGGTGCTGGGGCTCACGTGAGCTTTCTGGATGATGATACAAGCTGATGCGTTAGAAGCATGATGAGTCCCAAGGACCCAGAAATGTCACATCTGGGAATCTCAGACCTTGGCTTATGGGTTTCTGTTCTTGTTCGGTTCTTATTTTTATCCTGTATTTAAAAAACTATAAAGACAACTACTGCTCCATCCTGGGTACTGTGAGTCATTCTAGCAAATTACTGCCCCGAAGGGACTCTGGGAACCCAGGGTTTGTAGCCAGTTGGCCACACGTATATGGGAGTGGCCCATGAGCCCCGTCTCAGGCTTTTTCATCTGGTATCTGGAGTAAGGTCGATCTTTTGACAGGCCTCACTGGGGAACTATACCCTTAAGCTGGGAAGTCTGACCTAACTCCTCTAGTCAGTTAATGTCAGAATTGCACTGCACAAATAAAATGCTCTCAGTTCTTATCATTTTTGTTTAATGTTTTTTATTTTTACTTACCAAAATAGTCCACAGACCGTGTTCATAAAATGGATTGAGAATAGAACATATATCCAGCAAAGCAAAGCAAAGCAAAGCATTCCCAAGCCTTGTCCTGTTTAGAAAGTAAGTGCTCTGATGTAACAGTCCCATGGTGAGAAAGCCCTGTACTAAGCAGCGGGCTAGGAAGAGGGCATGGCCGTTAGTTATAAGGGAACAGTCTCTGCCTTTCAGGGATTGTTAGAATTGTTAGAATACTGGAAACACACAGGTACACACGTGTCTCTCTGAAAGAATGTGAGTTATGGCGAAAGTATAAAAATAATCAGATCAGTGGTTGACAGGATGGGGAGGAGAGAAGACGAGGTAGACCACAGAAGAGGCCCACGGCAGCGGAAGGACTCACGCCATTACACATGTGTTTAAACCCAAGAATGAGCAACACCAAGAGTGAGGCATGCTGTAAACTAGGAGCTTTGCTGTACAATTGCAACGAATGCACTCCTTGGGTGGGGTGTGTTGACAGCAGGGTGGGGGCTGTGCCTACGAGGGGGCAAACATGCGGGTACCTCCCTCCTTATTTTTCCTTTGCTTGGAACCTAAAATTGTTACAAAAATTGAAGTATTTAAAAAAAAGAAAGAAAGAGAAAACAGAGACTAAAGAATATGTATGCTGGTAAACACAAACTGTTCTTTAGAAAAGGAAATAACGAGTCATATTAATCCTGGGCGAAGACCCGGAAGTCTGGAGTACATGTCAGGGCAGACGTTGGTGAGCTCCACATGGATGGGGCTAGGCTGGACGGAGGGCACAGGGGGACGCGGTTAGACCAGCAGAGAGCACCGACACCTGTGGATGTGGAGACTGTATGGAAGGGGCAGGCTGGTCTTCGCATTACGGGCAATGGGCCCCAGACGATTGGTACAGAAGATAAAGATGTGTCAGGTTTACCATACTTGGTTAAGACAGAGGCAGGAAGTGCAGTGAGGAAGGAGGTTGCCAAGAGAGTGAAAATCCAGTTTGTGGGAAGGGAGAGCAGTGATGGGTGTAGTTCAATGAGACTGGATTTAGACAGAAACTAGCGCATGCCTTAGTTAGCACGCCCCCATGATGCCTTTGAGCCAGTCCCTCTTCCAACACTTCAGGGCCTGATGTTCCCATTGCTCATGGAGTAGAAATTATAACCCCTTTTACCTGATTTCAAGTTACTAAATGTTGCTAAAAAGATTGAAATTCACACTCTTTGTCCAACTGTTAAGGCTTTAGGCAAACTCCTCCACTGCCTTGGAACAGGGTCGTAAGGAGTAGGTGGAAGAGGGGAGTACCGATGATAAAGACAGGATTTGCAGAGTGCAGGGCAGGTATTTAGTTATTTCATCAGGATACTATGGCAGATCATGAACTTTTTTTTTTTTTTTAAATTTTCCAGAAGGTGCATGCAGTCACCCAGAGAGACAGAGGGACTGGGGGAGCAGAGGAGTAAGAAAGTAAGCCCCCCACCATGGGAAATGGTTGTGTTACAATCTCATCTGCTCCATTTCTTCTCCTGGGATTTGGAGGCCCCATGCATACCTGTCCAGCATGTTTTTCAAACACTCGGGTCCAGCACTCCAGCTACAGAGTTGGACATGTGAGATCCTGTCACCTTAACCTCCATGCCACCCGCTGACCCAAATGCTATTATTTTAATATGGAATAAAAATTCTTTGATGTCACTTATCTTGGTACACTAAAGGAATGAAATGCAAATGTATCTGGTAGCCTCCTGTGACGATATGAAGACTAAGGCTACCAAACCCTTGAGAAAAGAGAGAAAGAGGTGCTGCTGCTGGTGTTTTGTGGGGAGTGGGGTTGTGAGGTGGGGGGGCATTAAAGGATGATCAAAACTCCATGAGACAGGGTCAGTGGGTGGTGTAGTGGTCAAGGCACTAGACTTCCACATGGCTGATCCTGGTTCGAGTCTCAGACCCGTAGCTTGAAACTCATGCCAGGCGTGAGTGCGTGTGCACTCAAAGTCCCAGGAGGAGAATGGAGGAGAAGGAACTGTGGCATGGCCATGCCCCCTGGGGGTTATTTCCTTTCTCTTGTGCTGTGTCTCTGTCTATTTATTCAGTGAGTGCTGCACCCTATGACAAAAAAAAAAAAAAAATAGAAAGAAAGAAAGAAAGAAAGAAAAGAAATCCAGAAAACAACAAGTACTATGAAAGAAGAAAAAAGTCACGAAAACCTTTAGTTTTAAGTGGGGATGCAGAGGATTCCGTAAATGTAGTTTGGGGCATGGGGATGTATCAGACGGGGCTGTGAAGCGAAGCACTAGGGAATGGCGGGAGTGACAGCCTCATGGTCTTCTCGGAAGAGGAGATCCCAGGTCCTGGAGCCCAGCACGTGCGAGAGGCCGCAGACAGCTGCTCATCCTGCAGTACGAGGGGCTGTGAGCAGTGACTGGTGCTGGGGGACCCAGGGGTCGGAGACCCTAGAAAGACCTCTCCCCACCACATGGGCTGCTGGCAGAGACACCAGGATGTACTGTGAGATGTGATGGCGGAAGAGCTGAGCAGGGCAGGCCCAGAAAGACCGAGGCTTACTCTCCATTCCAGATGTTGCTGCTGAACGGAGGCTCAAAGGTAATGTGAAGCTGCTTTATAAAAAGTAAAGAGAGCGGGCCAGCCAGTGGCATGGTGGTTAAGGCAGCTGGATCCCACATGGCTGACTACGGGGATTGAGTCCCAGGCCAAATAGCTAGAAAAATATGCCAGGCATGTACATGCCCAAGTTCTCAAAAGAAGAAATGGAGAAGGGATTGCAACATGACTATCCACATTGATGGGGTGTGCTTTCTCAGTTTCTCCTCTCCCTCCCTCTCCTCTCTCTCTCTCTCTCTCTTCTCTCTCTCTTTCTAGTGAGCACACATGCCCACTGGCAAAAATTTAAAAATAAATAATAAAGGTCTGCATTATAATTGCAGATATACACTGAGGGATTGGGGCTTGTATTCTCTAGAATATCTATCACTATGCACAGGGGAAAAAGGGCTGACGAGGATCTGCAACTCACTCTAACAACAGGAGAGGTTCTGTTAACAGCAGCAGATCTTACATATCTCTAACCACTCACATTTTTTATAGTTCAATTATATAACTACAATGAAGGCAAACATATATACACACACAGAGGGATCTCAGGAAATTCATGGAAATGTCCATTAAAGTATGAGTTTATTTTGACACAAAAAATTTTTGAAACCCATGCATATTTTTTTCATATTACACATTTTCCTTAAACTTTTCGAAGACCCTTCGTAAATATGCACATGTGTATTTGCATACACACATAAATCTATATACACACGCACACACACACACACACACACACACACACACACACGCAAATAAGCGAAAGCCTCAACGGCGTGTTTGACTTGCTTGGATCAGCTGGGCTGGAGGCCATTTCTAGACAGGGCACAGTTCAGCCGTCATACACCACACTGGCACTAGGTGTCAGCGTACAACTGAGAACCAGACAGCGGCATGTGTTCTCAAGGTTGCCCTGTCCTTGTCTGTTACCTAGATTTTTAAACCATCCTAAATCTCTCAGACTGCAGAATCTCCGAAATTTAGCCCTTTTGATTCACCGGTGGTAGGCACTGAACCATAACGGCTTAAAACCTCACAAAGAGACAACTAGGCAGGGTCTGTGTTTGAGAATTGGAGTGGACTGGCTTTCAATGTTGCCTTTAATAAGCTGCATGATCTTTATCAAGTATATATGCTCTTCGTGCCTCAGTTTCTCTCTGTGAAATAGAACCTGTGAGGTTGTTTATAGGACTAAGGAGAAAAGGTACCTAAACCCTCCACCACAGGACCTGTGTTTCTGGTCCTTGAAGGGAAACTTGTTGGGGTAGCTTGTTTAGCTTGTTGGGTGTCCAGGAGCAGAGATGCAGGACAAGAAAGAGAATCGACATTCATAGCCTGCCTCCACCCTTCCCTGGACCTGTGGGTCCATTAACACACACTACACAACACCAACAAAACAGACTGCCACTTGGATTTGCACACTCAGACAGCACACAGACATGGCATCTTTCTCCCCAAAAGCTGTCATCTGTCCACCCAGCCATATACTTATTCAGCCCACTGTCTGGGGTGGCTTGCCTGGCTCGTGGCATAAAACAGGCACTTCAGGGGAGTCTGAACACAATGCCATCAAAGCAAAATGAGAAATAGTGATTGACTGTTTAAAAAAAATAATTGGAACAATAATAATGATTGGGAAAAATAATGAAAAGATATTGAATGATGAAGCAGGGAGATTAATGTGTCTGTATTGACTGACATGCATGGCATTCCCTTTTGAAAAAGCAGTGTAATACACTGTAAAGTTATATGCAATTCAATGTAATATAAACAAGAGTATGATGATAATAAAAAAATTAATTAATTAAAAAAAAGTTTGACTAGAAGTTCCTTTATATGCGAAGTCCTCATTTGAGGTAAGAGAGGATCTTCTTCCAACTCTCACCTCTCTGGTAGGAAGGGAAGAGAAACGGAGGCCATCATTATGGCTCCACTTCAAGAGCCGGGGAGGAGTCTTCACCATGACAGCTCTTTCATTAGGTTGATTTGTATATGTCATTGAAATAAAATCACTTCAAAAATTAACTTCAACTTAGTTCTTGCTTCCCCTTTATGAACTGACAAATTCCTTCACTGATTTAGCCCCACTGCTGTGGGATATAAACAGGCCAACTGCCTGGAACCCACTGGGAAGTCTTATTTGAATTTTTTTCTGAAACAGAAAAGACATACCTGTCACAGGGCAGTCCACGTATCTGTCCTCAAAGATGACCGGCAGGCTGTTCCAGTCGCCGTCAATGTCCAGGCACTCTGCGGGCAGCGGGGGCATGCTGGTGAGGTACTCCGAATTCCGGATATCCAGAGACAGCTGGCTGTGGGTCTGGATCCTGGGGAGCACATGGCAGAGTGAGTATCCAAGCAAGATGTGCATGTGTGAAATTGTCACTTTTTCCTTTAACCCCAAGAGAACACTGAGAAAATCCCCAGGAGATGGGCCTGTCCATTCACCCTTCCTCTTCCGCCATCACTCACTTAGCACCCCATGCCAGAGCTGGTTCATTTGCAAAATCCCAGTGCAGAGGCTGAGGACACAGTTCCATGGTTAGATGACACACAGGGCTAGGTATCACATGGCCTCTTAATGGAATGCAATACCAAGTTGGTGAAATGCCTGTTTCCCCATTTTTTTCTTCTGTGAAGTGGAGAGCATATCAGCTCCTACCTCGTAGGGTTAATGTGAACACTACATGAGCCAGTGCACAGATGCCCGTGTTTCTTACCAGAGCAGCTGCACTAGATTGTAAGCACCACAGAGTCAGGTAATGTGTCTAAGGTGTAGCATCTTGTAGAATGAATGATTTATAAAAAGGTAGACAATGTAATAATTAACACCGAGAATGTAAAAGAGTGTGATACTCAATCACCAATATTACGGAAATGAATGCGTCAGTGTGGGTGCACGTACTGGTCCACAACTCCATATTCATCATCCTTGCTGTGTGAAGAGGACAGGCTAGCCATCGGAAAAACAGAGAAGAGGGACAACAAAACACACCCTTGCTCTCTGTCCGTTCTAAGTAACTTTCTACCATTTAAAAATTACAACCTGGGACCAGATGGAGTAAAGGTTACATCACTGGGCTCCCAAGTAGTTGGGACCATGGCTTGAGTCCTGGACACTGACTTAAAACTCACGCTGGGCACATGTGCAGGCATGCCCAAAACCCCAAGAGGAGACTGAAGGAGAAGGGATTGCTGCATGGCCATCCCCCCAGGGGGTGATTTTTCACTTTCTCTTTCTCTGTCTCTCCAGTAAGCACACACACCCTATAGCAAAAATCTCTTAAAAACAAAACAAATTAAAACACCTCATCCCAGGTACGTGTGTGTGTGCCCAAAATCCTGAGAAGTGAATGGAGGAGAAGGTATTGCAGCATGGCCATCCTCTCTGTGTGGTGATTTCTTGCTTTCGGTCTCTCTGTGTCCCTCTCTCTCTTTGGTGAGCACGTGCACCCTATAATAAAACTCTATCGTAAATTAAAAATTACAACCCATAGCAACAGTCTTTAATATCATGACAACCCACTACAACCCACACTGCCAGAAACACACTGAAGCAGTTTCAGCACACACTTCTTAATCTTACTATGTATTTGATCTTGCCGTGTCGCATCCTATTTCCTCCTCTCCTGTCCTATTTCATTTAGAAGTGCTGCTCCAAATGCACTAAGTTGATTTCACAGTCTCCTAAATGATTGTGAGCTATTGTTTGAGAAGGACAATTTAGTTCAAGCTTGGACATGATGGGTCTTGACAGATGGGTTTGCACGGGTCGCCTTGTGTTTCCACTTGTCCGTTCCTATTTTGGAGCCCTATTCTGCTTCATCTGTGGGCAGGACAAGCTCCCTGAGGCAGCCTCCCAGTCTCCAGCTCTGACCTCCTCCATGTGAGCACACGCATGTGAGCACACACATGTGAGCGCACGCATGTGAGCACACACATGTGAGCACACGCATGTGAGCACACAGCTGCTAGCACGGCACAGGCCTGTTCCCCATCTCAGTCTAAGTCTCACTCCTGTTCACTTTGTATCTTCCTCCAGTGATTTTCTCAGTCCAGAATAACCTTTTTCTCTCTTCTATAGTTCGCCTTACTCTCAAGGACCTAATTAAGTCTGCTTCCTCCTGTGTAGTATGCCTTCTATCCCATCCTGTGCTTCCATGTTAGCATCTGCTCTGAATTGAGTGCTTAAAACACTTTCTAACCTCTGAAGGTTTTCTACAGGTCAAATATTATCATCTCCCGAGGAGTCTCATACCTGATTCGGATCTCTGCCCACTGACACCGTCTCGGGAAGACCTGCTCTGGCAGTTGATGAAATAGCACCCTCCATTCCCCTCACATGGATACATGCTTCTCCAGGGCCCTTGTCACCATTTCACATATCATCTCTACCTTTCCATTTTTATCTTGCCAAAGGGCATGTTTGCTCACAAGAGAGAGACACGGAGAGGGGGAAAGAGGGAGGAAGCACCCCCGTGGGGAGTGGTCAGCCTCAATCTCTTCCCCTCTCTCTCTCTCTATCTGGTTAGTATTTCAGGTATACATGCCCACGCACCTTGTATGTTTTTCAAAGCACCATGGGCACGATTCAAATGCTTGGTTGGCCATGTAGGATATGTCTCCCTAAACACTAGGTCATAAGGCCACCCTCATATTTGTCTATTTATGTTTTTAACTAATAAAATATAAGCCCTGTGAGATATAGAACTTTTCTATTTTGTTCAATATAGATAGTCAACATTAAGCAAATGTGTGTTGAGTAAAGGAATCTCCCTTTTACATCTAAGAAATCAGGTAAAAGTGAACTGGTAACTTATTAGATGTCACAAATATGGTAAGTTACAGAATCAAGATTTCAACCCAAGCATATGAAATTCATATGACAAGGTCCATACTATCTGGCTAGTTTGAAAACAAACAAACAAACAAGAAAAAACAGTGGGTGGGCAGCCCACAGTGTGGTGGTTGAGGCAGCCGGATCCCACATGGCTGACTGGGCAGTTGTGTCCTGGAGCAGCTGGAGAAACTCACCAGGCATGTGTACATGCATGCCCAAAATAAACTTAAAAATAAAGAAATGGAAAACAAGGGAGTGCAATGTGACTATTGCTCATGAGGGTGCTTTCTCACTTGCCTCTCTCTGTCTCTCTTTGTTCAGTCTGTGTGTCCTTTGGCATAATAATTATTTTATCTTTAGCGAATAAATAAAATGGGGGGAAAAGGCATAGAAAGCAACTGTGGATACCAGAGACAGTGTGGGAGGAGGGTTGGACATGGCAGACTTTGAGAGGGAATCAAGAATGGCAAAAATAACAAAATATACAGGAAACAGGAAATGGAAAATTGTTGACGATAACACGTATGTTGATGTGCTTGATTGAGCCAATATACAGTGTACTCTGGTTGGGAAATCTCATTTTCTTCGCTGTGATGATGTATAGTGAATGAATGTAAATAAATCAATTTAAATGAAAAAAAAGGCATTGACCATAATTATCATAGTATACGCTTCAAGCTCATTTCCCAGTCCACACAGCCTCACGTGGGCTAGACCTCACCTACTCTCTCCATGCTGCACTTGCAGCCGCTGCCCTTCAAGCACTCCATGTCCCTACAGAACCTTCACCATGCTCTTCCGTCTGCCTGAACCATCCCCTCCACATCACGGTACAGCGCGGTGCAACCCAGACTCTGCTTAAACGTTGCATCCGCAGAAAGACCTTCTCTTGTCCCTTTAGCTAAAACAGTCCTTCTCCCACATCCCATGTCACACTGGAGCCAGTTCACGTTGACTGGTAAGAGTCAACTACGCACATCCCTTCCCGTTCCACATTCGGTGACAGCACATGGGTGCCTGAAACGGACTACCGTGAGCATATTTATGCAACAGAAACCAGCAACACAACAAAGCAGAACTGTTTATTTGTTTACTTTTGCTCTTCTGAGAGCTGGTTGTTAAACACTCATGAGAGTGTGGGCTGTAGGCCCTTTCTCCTCATTTTCTGCATTATCTTCAGGTGTCAAGAGCTAAGTTGAAATATACCCATACTTTGGTGTCCATGGTGATGGGCTCCAGAACCCCTGTGGATATCAAAATCTCTAGATGCTCATACTCCTTATGAAAGATGGGGTAGGGTTTGCACAGACCCTGTGCATCTCCTCCTGAACACTTTAAATCATCTCTAGATTATTGATAATACCTAATACAGTGTCGATGCCGTGGAAATTGTTGTTATACTGTATTTTTAGAGGAGAATGCCAAGGAAAAACTGTACATGTTTAGCACAAATATAACCATTTCTTTTCCAAAAACATCTGCTATGAACAGCCACCAGTACTTAGGTCTAGCTTGTCTCTCCACTGGACGGTGTGGCCTTAAGGGCAGCATCTTCATTTCATTCCCTGCTGTGCTCCTACCATTGTGTGGGCCCCGAACACATGTTTAACTCTTCCATCATCTCTCAGTACTCCCTGAGCCATCATGGCTTGTAATGTATGTTCCACATGAATGCACGCTGTCATGTGGTTCTCATGACTCACAACTGCTCTCTATGTAGGTAAGAACACTAAGGCTGGGTGATGTCAAGATAAAACCCACAACAAAACATTAACTCTCTCAAGGACCCACTGCTAATCAATGGAGGAACAGGGTATTGAACCCAGACTCTCTGAAAGCCATGCCATCTGTCTTTGTACACATGGTTGGCATTCCAACAAAGCCCACTCAAGGATGGTTGCCTTGTGTCTATCACCCCTATGTGTGCTCACATTCTCTGAAAATACAATTCACACTTTACCAGTTGCCACAGTGTCTCTGGAGGGCAGGTCTCCTGTAGGAGTCCTGATTTGCACTATTTTGCTCAGTGGTCCTTAAAATTATGATTTCATGTGCCAGGTTAACTCTTCTGATTTTTGCTTTAGAAAATGCATTCAGTCAGTTCTACCTGGGTACTGCAAAGAATGAATAAATAAACGAGTGAGTGTAAGACTATAGGGATTTCCAGACAGGCTGTTTTAACACAGAGATGTGTTTTCTTGGTGTGCCTCTTACTTTCAGAACCCACAAAGCAAACTGTAAATGTTATTGTACTTTCCAAGTTGAATAAAGCATGAGAATAAAATAAGGCTATAATGATAAGGGTTGAAAAATCTCTAGATTTGTCTCGATATGGATGTATCTAAAGTGTTTCTCAAACATTATCCTATCTCCATTTATTTATTTATTTATTTATTTATTTATTTATTTATTTATTTATTTATT